CTTGCCCCAGGAGGCTGTTTGTGGCTGGTTGTCAGCTGAAGAAAATCTTTTTTTAGTGGCCTCCAGGCGAAAGGGCTCACAAAGCTTGCCCCAGGAGGCTGTTTCTGGCTGGTTGTCAGCTGAAGAAAATCCTTTTTTGTTGGCCTGCAGGCGACATGGCTCACAAAGCTTGCACCAGAAGGCCGTTTTGTGGCTGGTTGTCAGCTGAAGAAAATCTTTTTTTGTTGGCCTCCAGGCGAAATGGCTCGCAAAGCTTGCCCCAGGAGGCTGTTTCTGGCTAATTGTCAGCTGAAGAACATCTTTTTTTGTTGGCCTCCAGGCGAAATGGCTCGCAAAGCTTGCCCCAGGAGGCTGTTTTGTGGCTGGTTGTCAGCTGAAGAACATCTTTTTTTGTTGGCCTGCAGGCGAAATGGCTCACAGGCCTTCGTAATGCATCCGGTGGCGGAGGGTGCGCGGAACCCCAAAGGCACAAAAAGCCTTGCAGTTTTGAGGCTGAAGAAGGACCAGTGTTTTCAAAAACCCTTGCATTGTAAGCTCCAGGTTCTTAATTTGGAGCTTCGGGTCCTTAATTTTAAGTTCAAATCCTGAAATTCAAGCTCCTGTACTTAATTCAAGCTCGAGTCCTTAATTTCTTGTCCAGTCCTTAATCCTCGGTTCCGGGTGTTTAATTTAAGGCTCTTCAAAGGCAGCAAGGAGGAATCCAGGCGTCCCCGACCATTTGCACCAAGGTTTACCGGGGCCCAGAAAGGAGGAATCCAGGCGTCCCCGGCCGTTTGCACTGAGGTTTAGGGTTATTACTTTATAGGCTGACAGTAGCGGCCTATTCACTGGAGCCGCGTGGACCTGAGGTCCAGGACCTACGGCTTGCCTTTCGGCCATCGCCTACGGTCCGGCAGGCGCCTTCCGGTCCGCCTGCTGCGGCCGACCCCATTCGCTGCGGTGGGGGGTCGGCCTTCAGACTTGGAAGGTGGGTTGGGGCTCCGAGGCAGTGAGGTTTGGAGTGCATGCTCTTAGGGCTTTTGTTTCTTAGGGTTTAGGGTTGGTTGGAACGCAGGGTTCGTCAGGGTTTAGGGATCGCCCTCGTATTTTTGGGGTTTGGGGCTAGGGTTGTGGGTAGGTTGTTTGGGTCATCTTATTTACTTAAAACCTCGTGGGGGTTAACCTTCTCAATATACTTAAACCTTTCAACTTACTTAAACCCTCGTGGGGGGGGGGGGGCAACTCTTTCAATTTACTGAAACCAGGTTGTTTGAGTCATCTTATTTACTTAAAACCTCGTGGGGGCTAACCTTCTCAATATACTTAAGGCTTTTCGGGTTAAGGGGTTGAGGGTTTTCGGGTTTAGGGTTAGGGTTTAGGGGTTTCGGGTTTAGGCTTTTTATTTTTGTTTTTGAGGTTATCGGGTTTTCGGTTTTTTGATGATGGGATTTAGGTTTTAGGGTTAATGGTTAGTGTTCCTTTTAGTAGCGTTTGAAGGTTTAGGGTTTTCGGGTTTAGGGTTTAGGGTTAAAAGGTTTCGGGTGTGTTGCTTGGGTCATTTCAATTTACTTAAACCGTTCAGTTGCACTTAGAAAAAACTTGCCAATTTACTTAAACTGCCCTGTGGTCGACCGTTGCTTGCCTTAAATCCTGCGTACCTGCTGGGCATCAAACCAGAAGCTGCGCTGGCGCACCTTCGGCGCAAGCCGTCTAAATTTAGGGTTTAGGGTGTCTCGCCGCGCAGCGGCAGTATTTCTCATGTAGAATGGCGCCCCAACACTCCCAGGGGTGTGAGGGGGCGGCATATCTATGTCTAGACACAAGGATGCGACCTCTTGACAAAACAATTACAAATTGGTTGTTATTTTTTCCCGCCCGCTGTGAGCTTACACAGGCCACCACCCAAAACATTACCTTTTAGGGTTTAGCGCTTACGCCCTCAATTCCCACACCGAACACAGGAGCAGACAGTTCAGGACGAGAAGGACAGAAAAGGAGCAGGAGCGGCAAGGAGCGGGCAAGATACGCCAGCAGGAAAAAGCAGGTACAGGGGTGCCAGGGGAGCCAGGGAAAGGGAAAGGGGGGTCAAAGGAGCCAGAAATGCCAGGGGCAGGCAGGCAGGCCAGGGCCAGGAGGGGCCAGGGGGGGCCAGGGGGCCAGGGGGGGCCAGGCAGGCCAGGCGCGCCAGGGGCACCCGGACAGGGGCAGGCAGGCAGGCCAGGCAGGGGGGCCAAGGGGGGGCCAGCGGGGGCCAGGGGGGGCCAGGGGAGGCCAGGGGGGGCCAGGGGGGCCAGGGGGGGCCAGGGGGGGCCAGGGGCCAGGGGGGCCCTTCAGGGCGCCCAGGCAACCCTAAGGGCAGAAAAGACGCCAGGTCTGCCCTAGGACCCGCCAGGAGCCCCCGGGTCCCTGGAATCTGCCAGCTGGGGGGCCCCCTGGGGGGCCCCCTGGGCCGGCCTATGGGGCCTTTTCTGAAGGGAGCCAAATGAAAAACACCACCAAGGGATTTGGTCGTCGGGTTTAGGGTGTTTTAATCTCTTGAGATTCGAGGGAATTCCCTCTGCGAATATGGGCGCCACGCAAGGGGCCGAATGGCTTGGCTCAGCCCTAGGGGCTGAATTCGACCACTCTCCGATGGCGCCACCCATTGTCCATCCAGAGTTGGTGTCAATCACTGCCGGATTTCTTTCTGGGTCCAGGCACCCTAAGAAAAAGGGTGGGTACGGCCTAAGCAGGCCTGGGTGGGAATTTAGGGTTTAGGGTTTAGGGTTTAGGGTTTAGGGTTTAGGGTTTAGGGTTTAGGGTTTAGGGTTCAGCAGCTCTGGTCGAGCAGTATCTAGTCAAGTTCGCTAGTAAGAACTTGGAAGAATACCCACCCACCCAAAGAATCCCAAAACATAAGAGTTAGAAAAATTTTTTCGTTACCCTCAGACGACATCAAACCTCAAACCCTACGCCTTGATTTCTAGCATATACTTATGTTGCTATTGCTGCAGTACAGAAAGAAGCATGACACATTTCAGGCCGGAAATGTGTCATTTTTCCGCCTTGCAGAGTGTCATCGTTTCCGCCTTACAGAAAGAAACATGACACATTTCAAGCCGGAAATGCGTCATCTTTTCCGCCTTACAGAAAAAGCATGACACATTTCAGGCCGGATATGTGTCATCTTTTCTGCCTTACAGAAAGAAGCATGACACACTAAAGCCCAACCCCTAGGCCCTAAACCCTAAAGCCCAAACCCTAGGCCTTAAACTTAAAGCCCAAACCCTAGGTCCTGAACCCTAAAGCCCAAACAAACCCTAGGCCTTAAACCCTAAAGGCCAAATCCTAGGCCCTAAACCCTAAAGCCCAAGCGCTAAACCCTAACCCTAAAGCTAAAGCCCAAGCGCTAAACCCTAACCCTAAAGCCCTAGGCCCTAAACCCTAAAGCCCAAAACCCTAGGCCCTAAACTCTAAAGCCCAAACCCTAGGCCCTAAACCCTAAAGCCCAAATGCTAGGCCCTAGGCCCTAAACCTTAACCCTAGGCCCTAAACCCTAAAGCCCAAACCCTAGGCCCTAAACCCTAAAGCCCAAACCCTAGGCCCTAAACCCTAAAGCCCAAGCGCTAAACCCTAAACCTCAAAGTCCTGGGCCCTAAACCCTATAGCCCAAACCCTAGGCCCTAAACCCTAAAGGCCAAACCCTAGGCCCTAAACCCTAAAGCCCAAACCCTAGGCCCTAAACCCTAGAGCCCAAACCCTGGGGTCCTGACGAAAACCTGGTGCAACACTTGTGGGACGGGGGGTCCTGCCGAAAAATTGGCTCAACATTGGGAATCCTGCCGAAAAACTGGCTCAACATTGGGGGGTCCTGCCGAAAAATTGGCTCAACATTGGGGGGTCCTGCCGAAAAATTGGCTCAACATTGGGGGGTCCTGCCGAAAAATTGGCTCAACATTGGGGGGTCCTGCCGAAAAATTGGCTCAACATTGGGGGGTCCTGCCGAAAAATTGGCTCAACATTGGGGGGTCCTGCCGAAAAACTGGCTCAACATTGGGGGGCCCTGCCGAAAAATTGGCTCAACATTGGGGGGTCCTGCCGAAAAATTGGCTCAACATTGGGGGGTCCTGCCGAAAAATTGGCTCAACATTGGGGGGTCCTGCCGAAAAATTGGCTCAACATTGAAATTCCTGCCGAAAAATTGGCTCAGCATTGGGGGGTCCTGCCGAAAAATTGGCTCAACATTGGGGGGTCCGTGCCGAAAAAATGGCTCAACATTTAAATACTCATTTGAGAGACAGGGTTTAGGGTTTAGGGTTTAGGGTTTAGGGTTTAGGGTTTAGGGTTTAGGGTTTAGGGTTTAGGGTTTAGGGTTTAGGGTTTAGGGTTTAGGGCGTCTCGCCGCGCAGCGGCAGTATTTTCTATGTAGGATGGCGCCCCAACACTCCCAGGGGTGTGAGGGGGCGGCATATCTACGTCTAGCATTAGAAGGCGGTTCCATCACCAAACAATTACAAATTGGTTATTGTTTTTATCCCGCCCGCTGTGAGATCACACAGGCTACCACCCAAAATATTGCCTTTTAGGGTTTAGGGCTTACGCCCTCAATTCCCACCTCGACCCTGGCTTGCCGCTGCTGCACACTTTGCGTGCTTTCGTTGCGTACTACTGTCGGAGGCCCACGAAACAAAAAAACGCATACACTTTGCTTCGAAGCGCAAAGACAAGGGCACCAAGTGCAAAAGCATACAAGAAGTCGTGGTGAGCCAATGCCTGCGGCAGGGAGCAAAACAAAACTTGGGTCTAGCACCAAACAACTGAGCAAGGGGCACGGGTATATAGCATTGCAGAAGCACATACGTGCAAACCAACTTCGACGAACGCAAGTAAGCCATGGCTTGCCGCGGCCGAATGCATTCGATTTTCCATGAAGCGCACCCCTCAGTCGGACTCCGATCAGCTACTGAAGCCGGCACCTGCTACACGCTCAGCCAGCCAGGAAGAGAAAATCGTGACACAAGCCGCTGAATGGCGAGAAAATCTCAGTGAAGGCGTGCTGGCGAGAAGTGATGGATGCCGGGGTTGCCCACGTAGCGCCAGTTCGCGTCGTACTCGACGCGGCTGAGTGCGACATAGGCCGCGGCGGGCATGTTGGGCACATCCAGCCAGAGGGTGATGTGCGGGAGGGTCGTGCCCTGCACTTTGTGCAAGGTGCTTGCATAGCCAAGCCGCAGTGGGTAATGATGCACGCGGTCCTCGGAGGTCCAAGGATGCACGGCCAGCCTGACTCCTTGGTCCGTCTTCACGATGATGTTGCCGTGGTCCATGCCCAGCACCACTGCGCCCATGCCGTTGACGAACCCGACGGACTTGTTCAAGTTCTTGGTGAGAATGACTCGCGAGCCTGCATAAATGGGCACCTCCACGGGCGTCTGTGTCACCATCCGGCCGCGAGCGAAGTTCTCCACGTTGCTCTCCGGGTCGCCCGGCACGACCGCCAAGGGAGTGTCCTCGCGGAAGAGCGCGGCCACGGCGGCATCATTCAGTTGCGCGCAGGCGCGGCGACTGATTGTCAAGAATAGCGTGTTCGGAGTCTCCTCGAGAATGTGGGCCACGTCCTCCATCGATGGCTCTGCATTCATGACGTACCCGGCTCTGCGCAAGGAAGGAGCTTTGTGGCCGGCTTTGATCTGGCGCAGCTGCTCCACAGAGGGCTTGCCGATACGCAGGAGTTCTAGGGCCTTCCGCAGTTTCGGACACTTGCATCGCTGCATCGTGTGGAGCTGCCGCTTCTTGATGAGGACGCTGTGCCAATGCGGGGAGTCCAATGCGCTGGTGGGGTCGACACCCGGCAACTGGTAGAAGTCCCCGACGAACACCAAAGTGGGAATTTGATCGGTCGCTTGCCACTGCTCTAGGATACGCTCGAAGATGGTACGAGAAAGTTGGCCAACTTCTTCAACCACGATCAGGTCGTAAGGCCACAGCACTTCCAAGGCCTCCTGCGCAGGCTTGTGCACGAGGAAGGCGCCATGCACGGTGTCGACCTCCAGATCCGGGAAGCGCTCGCGCAGAGCGGCTGCCAAACGACCCGTCGGGGCAGTGAGCAGGATGCGGCCACCCGCTGCAGAGACCCGTTGTATGGCGTCGTGCACCGCCGTCGTCTTGCCACTTCCAGCCGGCCCGAGCACAGCAAAGGGCGTGCGGGCATCCACCACACCTGCGAAAGGAGAAGGGTCAGCTGCCCAGGCCGGATTCGCCGCCGCTGCATCGGCAGGGTCTGGGGAGTCCCAGCCCTCTCCTCTCCAGGCATCCTCGCGCTGCTGTCGCCGGCGCATGCCCTCTTGCGCACTGTCCACAAGCTCGTCGGCGATACGACGCTGCTGGACGGATAGCCGGACGCGGGCGCCGCCGCCGAAGGACTGCGCCGCAGCTTCAGGACTCGGGACGTCCTCATTCTTGTCGAGCTCGCCGGAGAGGTACCTGCGAATCAAGCCTTGGTTGGCAAAGAGCATGGCCACGATGTTGCGCACGTGGTGCTCGCGGAATGCCTCCAGCTCGAGCTCTGCACGAATGGCTTCCTCGCTCGTCCAGTGTTGAGGTCGCAACAGGAATGCCAGCGTCTGATAGTAGAGGTGCGACGGGACCAAGTCGAGCTCGGGGCGGTACAGCTCCTCCAAGCTTCGAAAAGGCACGTTCATGAGAACCCACTGCCCGTAGTAGCGATCGCTGTAGCGGGAAAGGTAGATGGCGGCCACGGCCACGTCGCCACAGAGCGGGGCGTTGTTGGACCAAACCTCGAGGGACTCGAGCGGTTCCGCGGTGCCAGGCCTCCCCACCATGTCGTTGTAGCGCTTGCGCAAGGCTTGGTGGATGGCCCCCTTCCGGTTCGTCCTCCGCAGGAAATCCGCCAGCGGCATGTCGGCGGCCCGCCAGGGGCTGGAGAGGTATTGCTGCACACGCTCCGGCAGCTCGCTTTCCCAAGGGACCGGAACAGGGAAGCGCTGCAAAGTGCTGCCTGCAAAACATTGTGGGAACCACTGCATGGCCAGTTGCAGTGTCATCTCTGGCTCCATGGGGTGGTAATCGGTCAGAACACGCCGGGCAACCGCGTAGTCGCTGCAGGCGTCGGCAAGCCACTCTGTCGTGAAGCTGTCCGAAAACTTGGGTACGTAGCCCGAGACGTACCGCAGCAGCATGCCGCGGCCGTCCGACATCTGCACGTCAATGTGGCAGTGCAAGCTGGCGAGTAAGTCCTTGATGTAGCCGCGCACTCCCTCGGGGTCACCAGTTGCATCGCTGAACGTGCAAAAGTCCGACTCTTTGTGCTGGAGGCGAAGCACGCCGTCGGAAGCATCGTAGTGGGAGGCACCCGGATGTACCGGCCACCCGCTGCCAGTCCAGGAGCGCTGGGAGCCTTCCACCAAAGACGCCATGACGGGGTTGTCCTCGGGCACGGTGGCAGACAAGCTTTCCTCGAGGCGGACCCTTCGCGTGACGCGCGTGACGCGCGTGACGTCGGGCTCCTGGGCACCCGACGCGCGTGACACGCGTGACGCGCGTGACGCGCGTGACGCGCGTGACGGGCGAGGGCTGCGGCGAGGGAGGCCACGGGGGCTAGGGAGGCTGGGGGCCAGGGGGCCACTAGTGGGGGCGGTGTGGGAGGCCAGGGGGCCAGGGGGGGGGCGAGAGGGGCCCAGGGGGCCAGGGGGCCAAGGGGACAGGGGGCCAGGGGAGGCCAAGGGCCAGGAGGCTTCTAGGACGGCCCAAAAATCAAGGAAAGGCAGAAAACGCCAGGTCTCCCCCTAGGACCCGCCAGGAGCCCCCCGGTCCTTGGAATCTGCCAGCTGAGGGGGCCCCTGGGCCGGCCTCTGGGGCTTTTTCTGAAGGGGGGCCAAAAGGAAAACACCACCAAGGGATTTGGTCGTGGGGTTTAGGGTGTTTTAATCTCTTGAGATTCGAGGGAATTCCCTCTGCGAATATGGGCGCCACGCAAGGGGCCTAATGGCTTGGCTCAGCCCTAGGGGCTGAATTCGACCACTCTCCAATGGCTCCACCCATTGTCCATCCAGAGTTGGTGTCAATCACTGCCGGATCTCCTTCTGGGTCCAGGCACCCTAAGAAAAAGGGTGGGTACGGCCTAAGCAGGCCTGGGTGGGAATTTAGGGTTTAGGGTTTAGGGTTTAGGGGTTTATAGAAATTGTATAGTGTTCAGGTCCGAAGTTTTGAGCGGGTTTTGGGCGAATTTTGGGCGGGTTTTGAGCGAAATCTGTGCGGGTTCTGTTTTGCTTTCTGGCTTGGAGATTCCTTTCGCTCTTGGGGAAGAGCTGGAAAGGCATCTCCAAGTCTCGACCTTCGAGATTCCTTTCGCTCTTGGGGAAGAGCTGGAAAGGAATCTCGAAGCCTCGGCGCTCCGGACTCCCTTTTGCTCTTCCGGAAGAGCTAGAAGGAATCTCGAAGCCTCGACCTTGGAGATTCCTTGGAGCTCTTCCCCAAAAGCAAAAGGAATCTCGAAGGTCGAGGCACCGAGATTCCTTCCAGCTCTTCCAAAAGCAAAAAGAAGAATCTCGAAGGTCGAGGCTTGGAAATTCGTTTTGCTCTTTGGAAGAGCTCCGTGTTCAGGTCCGAAGTTTTGAGCGGGTTTTGGGCGAATTTTGGGCGGGTTTTGAGCGAAATCTGTGCGGGTTTCTGTTTTGCTTTCTGGCTTGGACCAGACGTTTGTAGTACGCATTTTGGATCTGCATTTCTTCGTCCTATGCCTTTCTCTCACGTGCATCTTCCTCTGCCCCGCCCCTGCCCCTGCCCCGCCCCTGCCCCTGCCCTCCTGCCCTGCCCTCTGCCCTGCCCTGCCCTGCCCTGCCCTGCCCTGCCCTGCCCTGCCCTGCCCTGCCCTGCCCTGCCCTGCCCTGCCCTGCCCTGCCCTGCCCTGCCCTGCCTGCCCTGCCCTCCTGCCCTGCCCTGCCCGCCCCCCTGCCGCCTGCGCTGCCCTGTGCCGCCCTGCCCTGCTGCCCCGCCCCGCCCTGCCCTGCCTGCTCTCCTCTGCCTGTCCCACCCTGCCCCGCTCTGCCCTTCCCTTCTTCGTACAATGTTTATTGCTGCTATTGTTGATTTGACGAAGCTGCAAAGGCTCGCTTTCTAACGGAGCTGCACATACATGCCAAAGCTCGCTTTCTAACGGAGCTGCGCATACAATTTCTATTTATCCTGCTCTTGAGGGTTTAGGGTCTAGGGTTTAGGGTTTAGGGTTTAGGGTTTAGGGTTTAGGGTTTAGGGTTTAGGGTTTCAGCAGCTCTGGTCGAGCAGTATCTAGTCAAGTTCGCTAGTAAGAACCTGGAAGAATACCCACCCACCCAAAGAATCCCAATACATAAGAGTTAGAAATTTTTTTTCGTTACCCTCAGACGACATCAAACCTCAAACCCTACGCCTTGATTTCTAGCATATACTTATGTTTCTATTGCTGCAGTACAGAAAGAAGCATGACACATTTCAGGCCGGAAATGTGTAATTTTTCCGCCTTGCAGAGTGTCATCGTTTCCGCCTTACAGAAAGAAACATGACACATTTCAAGCCGGAAATGTGTCATCTTTTCCGCCTTACAGAAAAAGCATGACACATTTCAGGCCGGATATGTGTCATCTTTTTTGCCTTTCAGAAAGAAGCATGACACACTAAAGCCCAAACCCTAGGCCCTAAACCCTAAAGCCCAAACCCTAGGCCTTAAACTTAAAGCCCAAACCCTAGGTCCTGAACCCTAAAGCCCAAACAAACCCTAGGCCTTAAACCCTAAAGGCCAAATCCTAGGCCCTAAACCCTAAAGCCCAAGCGCTAAACCCTAACCCTAAAGCCCTAGGTCCTAAACCCTAAAGCCCAAAACCCTAGGCCCTAAACTCTAAAGCTCAAACCCTAGGCCCTAAACCCTAAAGCCCAAGCGCTAAATTTAGACGGCTTGCGCCGAAGGTGCGCCAGCGCAGCTTCTGGTTTGATGCCCAGCAGGTACGCAGGATTTAAGGCAAGCAACGGTCGACCACAGGGCAGTTTAAGTAAATTGGCAAGTTTTTTCTAAGTGCAACTGAACGGTTTAAGTAAATTGAAATGACCCAAGCAACACACCCGAAACCTTTTAACCCTAAACCCTAAACCCGAAAACCCTAAACCCTAAGCCTAAACCCGAAACCCCTAAACCCTAACCCTAACCCTAAACCCTAAAACCCTAAATCCTAAACCCGAAAACCCTAAACCCTAAGCCTAAACCCGAAACCCCTAAACCCTAACCCTAAACCCGAAAACCTTCAACCCCTTAACCCGAAAAGCCTTAAGTATATTGAGAAGGTTAGCCCCCACGAGGTTTTAAGTAAATAAGATGACTCAAACAACCTGGTTTCAGTAAATTGAAAGAGTTGCCCCCCCCCCCCACGAGGGTTTAAGTAAGTTGAAAGGTTTAAGTATATTGAGAAGGTTAACCCCCACGAGGTTTTAAGTAAATAAGATGACCAAAACAACCTACCCGCAACCCTAGCCCCAAACCCCAAAAATACGAGGGCGATCCCTAAACCCTGACGAACCCTGCGTTCCAACCAACCCTAAACCCTAAGAAACAAAAGCCCTAAGAGCATGCACTCCAAACCTCACTGCCTCGGAGCCCCAACCCACCTTCCAAGTCTGAAGGCCGACCCCCCACCGCAGCGAATGGGGTCGGCCGCAGCAGGCGGACCGGAAGGCGCCTGCCGGACCGTAGGCGATGGCTGAAAAGCGAGCCGTAGGTCCTGGACCTCATGTCCACGCGGCTCCAGTGAATAGGCCGCTACTGTCAGCCTATATAATAATAACCCTAAACCTCAGTGCAAACGGCCGGGGACGCCTGGATTCCTCCTTTCTGGGCCCCGGTAAACCTTGGTGCAAATGGTCGGGGACGCCTGGATTCCTCCTTGCTGCCTTTGAAGAGCCTTAAATTAAACACCCGGAACCGAGGATTAAGGACTGGACAAGAAATTAAGGACTCGAGCTTGAATTAAGTACAGGAGCTTGAATTTCAGGATTTGAACTTAAAATTAAGGACCCGAAGCTCCAAATTAAGAACCTGGAGCTTACAATGCAAGGGTTTTTGAAAACACTGGTCCTTCTTCAGCCTCAAAACTGCAAGGCTTTTTGTGCATTTGGGGTTCCGCGCACCCTCCGCCACCGGATGCATTACGAAGGCCTGTGAGCCATTTCGCCTGCAGGCCAACAAAAAAAAATGTTCTTCAGCTGACAACCAGCCACAAAACAGCCTCCTGGGGCAAGCTTTGCGAGCCATTTCGCCTGGAGGCCAACAAAAAAAGATGTTTTTCAGCTGACAATTAGCCAGAAACAGCCTCCTGGGGCAAGCTTTGCGAGCCATTTCGCCTGGAGGCCAACAAAAAAAGATTTTCTTCAGCTGACAACCAGCCACAAAACGGCATTCTGGTGCAAGCTTTGTGAGCCATGTCGCCTGCAGGCCAACAAAAAAGGATTTTCTTCAGCTGACAACCAGCCACAAACAGCCTCCTGGGGCAAGCTTTGTGAGCCATTTCGCCTGGAGGCCACTAAAAAAAGATTTTCTTCAGCTGACAACCAGCCACAAACAGCCTCCTGGGGCAAGCACAGAGCAGGATAAATAGAAATTGTATTTGCCACACCGTTGGGAAGCACCAAGATGCCAGCAAACAGTGCAGAACAAAAACACACCATTTTGTTAACCCTTGTTGTTGTGCTCAACATCCTTGAAACAAGAAGTCAAGAACCAGTGCAGAAAAAAGCCCCATTGTGTTAGTCCTAGTTGTCGTGCTCAACATTCTTAAAACAAGAAGCCAAGAACCAGTGCAGAAAAAAAGCCCCATTTTGTTAGTCCTCGTTGTCGTGCTCAACATCCTTAAAACAAGAAGCCAAGAACCAGTGCAGAAAAAAAAGCCCCATTTTGTTAGTCCTGGTTGTCGTGCTCAACATCCTTGAAACAAGAAGCCAACAACCGGCCCCTTCCCCCACCGGACCTCTCACGATTGACACCTGCTGTCAATCTGGCAAGGGAGTGTGACAGCCATCCGCCGGGAGGGTCCAGAGCTACTGACAATCCAAAGGGGCAAACGGCCAGCAAGGGAGTGGGACAGCCATCCGCCCCCTTTCCACCAAGCTCCACCCAGATTGCCACCAGCTGACAATCTGAAGCCCTGAAGATTGCCACCTGCTGACAATCCAAAGGGGCAACCGGCCAGCAAGGGAGTGTGACAGCCATCCGCCCCCTTTCCACCAACCCCCACCACGATTGCCACCTATTGGCAATCTATACCCCCTTAAGATCGCCACCTGCTGACAATCCAAAGGGGCAACCGGCCAGCAAGGGAGTGTGACAGCCATCCGCCCCCTTTCCACCAAGCTCCACCCAGATTGCCACCAGCTGACAATCTGAAGCCATGAAGATTGCCACCTGCTGACAATCCAAAGGGGCAACCGGCCAGCAAGGGAGTGTGACAGCCATCCGCCCCCTTTCCACCAACCCCCACCACCATTG